CAGCCGTCTACGAAAAAACAATTAACCCATAACGGACGGCGTGCGCCACAAGGTGGCGCACGACTATTTCTTTTGTTTTTGGAATGTTTCTAGCAATCTTAATATACCCATATATACTCTCAGCAATGTGGAATAACATATCTTCCCAGGACCTGGACGGCTGGATTTTTGACAAACCTACAATAAATTTTACATACATTTTGTCTTAATTTACATAAGTTTACTATTTGATGGGTGGCTTACCCATGGTTCGCACGTCCCGAGACCCCTTCCCCTAAATATAGCCACATCCTTGCTCGGGGTTGTTGTTTCGCATTTTTCGATAATGTCACCTACAGCTTCCATTCATTCTTTGCACCCTAGTTTTAGAGCGGAAAGGCGGGCTACGAACTTGTCGTCAACGGAAATCTCTTTTTTCGGATGATGAGACTCCGACACCTACTTTAGCCCCCCAAAAACTTTTAAAAAAAAAACCCCCCTGCCTGTTCCACATAAGCCTATAAACCCCACCCGAGTAACGCGTTCGGCCACATGTGGTGCACGCAACAACTACACTGCCGTACGTAAAAACCATTATAAATCGAAATATGTGATTAAAATCCGTTCAGTTGCCCCTTCCTTGACAACTTTACTATTCCGTCAATCCCCGATCTCATCAGGAGTTGGGATAAACAAAAAAGTTACTTCGCCGTTTACAATCCCGTCGTGATGCCGGCACGCATTCTACTTCCATTTGTACAAATTGCGCATGGCATTGAATTTGGGGTTAGCGAAATAAAGACACAAGAAAGACGTATAAACCTTGAGTAACGTACAAATTTAGCCTTCTTCCTGAATTTTCACGAAAACCCGAAAGTGGTCAACGTTTTTCACAGTTTTTTCAATTGTTTTTCATCCCTGATATCACTCTCACTAGATCCACGAAATTTCTGGAATGCATATTATGGAGAGGGAAAAAATGCGGTCATGTGACGAAGTTTCTGACGATACGATGCTTGGCGATGTAGGCCATTCCTTCAGTGTCCAGGGCTATAGGAGAAGTTACCGTTTACATTTTTTGTTTCCGCTTATTAAAACCAATACTTCACCACAGTGTTCTAGATTCCGCTGCACTAAAATATTCGGCTTCGATAGCTTTCTGAGATACGCCATGAATTCATCTCTTGTCTGGAATACTTGTGCGTGTTTAAGCGCTCTATCTTTCCCGTACTGACAAAAGACCACATCACGTCCAAGTCGGTGTTTTTTTATTCAGTTGAAGGATGCGCAGTGGACGGAATAAATAATATTAAAAAATATTTATACTGAATAGTAAACGTCTCACCTAAGGTAGAAATGACAATGTTCCGCTTCAGATCGATTTTGTTTCCCACCAATACTACAGGAACAAACGACGAGGTTCTCGTTTACGAGATTCTGAAAAGAGTAACAAGTTTAGCCGAATGGGCTGTAAATTTTGCTGAAATTGAAATCTGTTCTCGATTTTATCAGGTATTTGAAGCACACCCCGCAATCAGTTTCATGATAGAAATCCCTCCCACGGATGGAGTTGCTGGGCTGCGGGCGCGGACGCAGAGGTCCTGCCACTTAGCAACTTTGGCGCGATTCACATGCGTGAGCCTCAGGTCGCATCCTCCGCTAGCTCTATGAGACGTTGCGCACCACCGTAGTCGTATCTCATCTGTGTCGTCATCATCTCCCATGCTTTCATGTCTAGGAATCTTTCTCTTTCCTCAGCGCCCACTATCTCATATCCTGCTGTCTGCTTCCTGGAATCCTCCACAGACGTAGAATAGTAAGTCCTTTTTCGGAGCTCATTGCGATTGTTCTCTTTTTTTCCTCTCAGCTGGCAGTCCACTTCGCATCCCAATTTTCATATTTGAGTTCTAACTACCACATAACTGAGCACGGGTACTTTGAACTACGCAATTATCCTCTCGTCCTTGCTACAATACATCAGCGTTTTCCGAGAGGTACAACCATAAATATTATAGCAAGTAGCTGGATAAGAACTGCGTATGAAGTAACATCAGCCCAGTAGGTACGGCTGAAAAAATTGGCCACAAGTGGGGTGGTAGCAGTTGCATAGGCACCATCCTCGCAAACCATTCTATAGAACCACGTCTCTGCAGAGCACAATCAAGTCTTCGTTCTCATTGATCGGGTAAATTTTTGCGGATTTGTCGTAAAAACAAAAAGGGCTGAGTTGCACATCGGGTGACCAGCTCCAGTCACTGGCATTTGAAAACTGCTGAGACCGAGTGGAAGTTGAATGCGTGGCGCACTCCATAGAATATAGTCTTTCTAACTGTATGTGAATGGTGTAATGCGTACTTACCTGTATAACAAGTGCGTAGCTTTTTTGAATGACTCGCGGCTATCTACAGAATACACAACCACGTACATCGTGATATGAATTGGCGAAAGGGGAGGACTGAAAAAATAACTTGAGCATAGTTCAAATTCTGCGTACAATTTCAGCTTTTTAACATTCAAGTTACAAATTTCTGAAAGGAATAATGAAAGAAACTTATTGGTAAATAAGTTACATATGTAATATGTTATTTTGGGTATTCGTTCGAAATAGTGGTAGAGGTTGCGGTCCTGAAAATATAAGATAAGAAATATGCGCTGAATTCGGATGCCACAATCAACGAAATGTACCCGTTATGAAAAAAGCATCCCATAAAAAATTGTGAGCAAGGAGGAGCAGCAACCAAACTCGAGCTTAAGCAGACTTGTAAGTGGTTAAAAAAAGATTGATAGGGTCATGGGTTACGTAGCGCGCTGTGCCGTTCCCTCGTGGGTAAAATAGACGTAATCAAAGAAAAAAATGAAAAGCTATGTAAGTGTAACCCACGTCACTCACCTCTAGAGTTGATTCCATGACTATTTCTAGTTGAACTTCTTCGCCATTCAGAAGAAAGTTGATGGTTTTCGAGACGCTCCTCTTGCTTTCACTGCTAAATCAGGTAGAGCATGATTTCACAGAAATAATTAGCTGTATCTAAGGTCCCTGTACCATTATTCGAGTGTGATGCTGGACACATATGGCGACAACAGCGCCGCATCGCGACCGCACGTGTCTCATTCCACCTGTTTTGTATGTGTCTATCCAGGGTTTAAGAATGAAAGCAAGAAATTGACTTACATATGACGTGAGTCTGTTCTGGAGTAGTCGTTGAAGCGACATGGTAAATTTGATGTGCAAGCGTCTTCTTGCCAGCATTTCGGCTACCGTATAATCGTAACAACACCTGGCGTGCTGGTGTGGTCGACTCCGGGTAGAGGTAGATTTCTGGACACGTGGCACGACGATTTTCTCCTGAAATTTACTTATTATTTCGTTATTACACATAGTTAGGCCTACACGTCGGACTCATGGAGCATGAATAACAGCTTTCAAGGCATAAGAAAAGCTTGCACAGGGCAATAAGCACTTCTCGACGACATAGCCGCGTCGCTACCGCGCGCGTCTACCGCTTGCTATCCACCTCGTAGGCGAAGAATCTCTAGGCGATGTTTGACTAGATGAGTAACAAATTCGTACTCACCTCGCTTTCTTCCGATCGCCTTTCCAAGGCCTTTGAGCTCGTAGCCGTTGTCCACAAGTGAACCGTTTTTGTAGTCGAAACTTCGTAATTGGCCTTCGATACGGTCGATACTTTTGAGTCCATCCTAGACAGCAGTTAGTTAATTTGAAGAAACAAAAAGAAATCCTGAGCACAAAATCAATAGGAGCGATTTCAGACGGACTTATTCGCGACGTCAATGTGCAACGTTTATTTACCGCCTTCAGCACTTGAATTTTTTTTCAACAAAAACCCGGCAACTCCTTTCCCTGGTACTTCTGTTTATCTTTTATGTGATAGTTGACGGTAAGAGTTACCAGCCCAATTCTCACAAAATTTAACTACTAAATAAAACATAAGATGAAACGGCACTGTGTGCTTTGAAAAAGGGTAAGCTGGGTGGTTGGGGGGGGGGGGAGGGGGGGAGGGGATGGGGAATGAGACGATATACAACATTCAGGTCTGCGGTACCACTGCGGGACATCAAGTTTGCAACCAGTTTTTACCCCCTTTCTTCCACTCTCCAAGGCTACACTTATGTTTAGGGGTTTCTCACTAATTATGACCGTGACCGTAACCATAACGCAATGTTACTGCCATTTCTTCCGTCGTCATATGGAGCAAATAAAACGTATGATATTCAATGTAATCCGGCCCATCCAAGCCTTCATCCAAATCGCCCAACTTTGTCGGATGGCGAGCGGGTACCACACTCGGTTGGTATTTTAGGAACATCAGCGTGCTTTGCAATTCACTGTACAGCAGGGTGAATATCAGTTGAGGAAGTCCTCGATAGGGGGTCGTATCTCCGTTGAATGGAGGTGAGGGGTTGTAAGCAGGGTCAACCGTCACGTTCGAACATTTTCGGGATTTTTGCGACCCCCCCCCTCTCGAGAGGGGTCCAGTTGCGACCCCTCCCAACACACAGTTGCGACCCCCCAATACAACCAGCCATTCCTCCCACCGC